TGATACATTTACAGCATCAGTGTTAATGATTCAACATTGACAGCAGTTTTCCGTGTCCAGTGTCTGGACCACAGCCGCTCTCTTACCATCAGACTCTGACGCAGCGCGGAAGATGAGGTGGCTGCTGGGTAACGGCTGGGTGATGGAGCCCACCGCCTCTCCTTTAGGACCCTGCAGAGGACAGAGAGCGAGGGTTTGAGCTGATGAGTAACTGGAGCAGACGACAAACGTCACCACACTCTGAGCCTCACGGTCTGAACAAACAGGAGGAAGTGAGCGTCGCCGAGTGACTCATCAGGGGCAGATGGGCCGGGGCTGAGGCAGTGGATGAAAGAGAGAGGACAGAAGGAGGAACAACAACAACAACAACACAGGGCGGCCACGGGGATTCAAGCCTTTCATGGTGGAAACAAAACAAAACAAAACACAATGCACTTGAACTGAGTGTCACGGTGATGGAGTGACGGACGAAAAGAAGGTTTTTGTATCTGAGCCAAACGGAGCAGAGAGGAGCTCTGAATTATACAGTGGACAATCAGACGCTTTTAAACCAACAGACCCCCCCAACACCCCCCCCCCTTCATGGTCCTAGCCCAGAGGCAGTTCTGACCTTGACGGCCCAGATGGACTGTTCCAGCGGGTGAAAGAGTTTGAAGCAGAAGCCGTCTTTCTTGGACGGCCTCTCGATCAGCTCACAGGCGTTCAGCAGCACCGTCCCGACCCACTGCCCGTTCTTGTGGGTTTTATAAATGAGCAGCACGCCGGGCTTCAGTACACACCACAGTTTGGTCCAGCTCTTCAGGGTTCCACGGATCTGGAGTCCAAACACAGGCGAACAGGACGGTTATTAGACGGTGTCCTTTAGATCAATGCACCCCCTAGTGGTTTTAAGTGGAACAGTTTCTACACACTGACGCTCTACGTTAAGCTGATGCGGTAAAGGGCCTTGACCTTGACCTTGACCTTGACCTCACCTTCAGCCAGTCGGCCATAACGATGACCGAGGGGTCAGTGATGGTGCTGAGCAGCTCCTTCGTCGCCCTCTTCTTCTCCTCCCTGTAGTTCTTCTTCTGCACCTGCAGGGAGAACGGAGAGACACGGAGGACGACTGGATGAAGACACGTCTCACTGGGAGGTCCACGCCGATGGACTGATGGGTTCTGACCAGTGATGGACCAGTCAAAACACTCATCTCATCCTTCCTCTGTTTACCGGTCATGCGGAGGTCAGGGTGCAGCTGACCTCCGACCTACCGTGACTGGTCAGTACAGCAGGATAATGAACATCTCCTATATTTAACTCCTGGACTTACAGTAAGAGTCCGGATCCTGTGGAGCTAATCTGATGTGAGCGTTCTTACCTTGAGAGACTCCTTCTTGGTGAGTTTCCCTCCAGACACCGACACGTCTTTGTCTGATCCATTGTACAGCTTGGTCTCAGACTGGGGACAAAGACAGACGTTAACGTTCACACTACACTCCAACATGTCCGTCTCATGTCCACCAGCCTGGCAGACACTGGACCAGAGCTGAGAGACTGAACTCCTCCTGGTCTACAGCAGCTCCGCCCACAGACCACGACTGGACATTTCTACTGCTCTGTTTTTTACCAGTGACCAGTGAATCCAGACGGTTCAGGACTGAAGGTCGTCTCTCACCTTGCTCTTGGAGATGGAGTGTGAGTCCTCCTTCAGTGGCAGAGGCAGGAGGTCCTCCTTCCCCCTCTCAAAACCTGGAGGACACAGTCAAACAGACCGGTTGGTTACAGACAGTGACCCCTGTGGTCAGGGAGGAGAACACTGAATTATTGATCAGTTTACGTCACCAACATTGCCCC